TAAAATAGTGTTAAACTATTTATATTTACTATCCTATACAAGAAGTGGAAATGAAGTAGACACCACTTCATTGACACGCCTAGTGGTGTTCATGAGTCTATTTTGATCAGTAATTGATTAAAATTAAAATCACATTAATAGTGTATATATATATATATATATAATTATATATAAATTAATTATTATCTGTTTAAAAATATAAAAATAAATCAAATCAATACTAAATAAAATTAATTCCATTAATCAATTTAGTTTTTCAACTTAAATCTAATTTTAAGCAAACAATGAACATCTCTGGACATGCATGCTAGCATCAGGGTTATTTTATAGGACTAATCCATCGATAGCCACTTCAAGTTGTCATTAATTTTTACTTGCACATCTCAAATAGGTCTTATTCACTTTAAGTACCTTAAGTAGGAGGAAGTTGTGTCATATTGACACGCTTTTTACAACAAGCCAAATATATAGGATGTGTGATATATTACACTCGTTGATGATGTGTCAAAGTAGCGAATTAAATAATGAGATATGACATATATATCAAAAATATTATTAAAAAATATATTATGAATAAAAATTCATTTTAAAACTATTTAATCAAAATTACTTTAAAAATTATCTTTCAATAAAGAAGAAAAAGAAAAAAAAATCTACAACACCTTTATTTTTCTCTTCACCGTTTTCATATCTCCTCCTCCTCCAACCACTATTACTTTGATGTCTTCTTCTTCAAGTTTGAAGATCATCACTACTATCATCTTTTTCTTCAAATCTATATAATCAATTTGGGTCATAAGCAAATACTCATAATCTAACTATCATATTATTACAATCTCTTCAATCCTTCAAATTCATCTTCTTCGTTTTTTCATCAATTACCCTTCACCATTAAAACTGCTTATTTTGAAAGTTTCAAAGTACGCCAACAATAACAGGTAATTATTTGTTAGCGTCCTATTTTTTTTTCTTCTAATTTTTTAATTTTTTAAAGAAAACTTCCTATGTGCATTCTAACTCTTTAAATTTTATTGCATCTACTACTCTTCCTGTTCTAATCTCCCCATATGTTGTTCTACCATATTTCTAACTCCCCATCACATATTTAAAGATCTATTTATTCACTCGAACTCTAATCATTGTATTTTGAATGGGACATTATTATATTAATTTTCTTATATAAATTATTTTAGATCTACGGTTTTGATCCTTCAAACTTAAAAATTACTTTCTTTGATTGTTTTAATAAAACAGATCTGCAATTTTGTTTCATACAACCTTAGTCGTTTGAACAACCCTAAAAATTTATTGCGATTTGAATGATTTATATTTAAAAAAACACTAATTTTACATCATCAACTTAGACCAGTGTAATATTTTTTGTCAATTGTAAAAAAAAAAAAAGCTCTTATCAATTCCTATGATGCTAGCTAGAAGTTTGGGCGCTTTTTCATGGCTATCTAGTTAATCATATTACTTTTTGACAAATTTCAAAAGTTTGATGAATAAAATTTATCCCTTGTTATCGGAATAAAGGATCTTATTTAAAATCTTAAAATCAATAGCGGGGATAAATAATAAAATTACGTGTACAATTTGTCGATTCGATTTAGCTGTTTCTTTGATTTTGTTAACAAAATTAAATTAAATATTATCTATTCAAAAATATAACATAAAATCAAAGTCAAATAAAATTAATTTATTTAATAAATTTAATTTGTTTGAATTTAATTTTATTTGAACAAAGAACATTCATGTACTTGTGTGCTAGCATTAAGGTTATTTTACATGTGCACCGCAGGTTTCAAAGTAATTGTATCATGTGGACCCACTTAAACTATTATTTTACGTCATCATTTTTTAAGGAAAATTATGCGAATAAATAATTTATAAATGAAAAAAAATTAATTATATAAATATATAATTTATATATATTTATCATATTTGTATATTGACAAGTGAATTATACAAATAGGAATATTTATAGCAAATGAAACTATCGTTATAAAACGTACTAAGGTAAATTATAGCTAAGGAGACTTCTTCAGTTTAATTTATGAAATTTTCTCTAAATTTTATTATGAATTTAACTAATACGCACCAATAATTTACACTTCTTTTTTAAAAAAAGAAAAAGAAAAAATCAAATAGCTTTGACAACAATAATTAAGGATGTTCGTGATTCGATTTATATTGATCAATAATTAAAATCAAAATTAAACTAATCTAGTGATTACTCGAATGATTTATGAAACTAATTGTTTACATGGTGTGGAAGAAATAAAATACCTAAATTAGTGATGATGAAACTCATGAAAGTAAGATGACCCTCCTCTGTATTTTAGGTAAATAAGAACATTGTTCAGATAAAATAAAGTAGAAGTCCAAGTTTCTTTACCTCTAAACTTCGATGTGAATTATTAGATTCATTTTAAATTATTAACATTCTTAAAATATCTTTTTACTTGTCTAACTGGATCTAAATACACCATCGATCTCACAACATGAGTGAAATACATATCTAATTCTCATCAAGTTTCTCTTGACTCTTTATTAAGAGTTCTATTTCTTCAACAGTTTAAGACCACTAGCTTTGTCATGTGACAGATAGAGGATTATCTAAAGTTTTAAATCGGCAACGAATATGTCCTTTAGACTTTGCTAGAAATGGCCGAACACTAAAAGATCGGTGGAAAACCAGCTTAAGCTGGTTGTACTTTGAAGTTCGTTCAATTCACACAGGCAGGGTGATTGAGTTAGTCAAATAGATTTATAATTTTAAAATTGTCAATAATTCGAAGACAAAAATAATTTACGTCAAATACTTCCCTATTTAAATATTAAAAAGTAGAAATACTTAAGAAGTTGCCTCAAAGGTAATTGTGTACGCAATTCTTTTTTTTTTATAAATTGGTGTATAATAGTTCAACTCTTCTATAATTTACACATCCAGCTAAGTATTTAGTTTGTCCGGTGCATATATTATTTTATCACATGTTGATTTCAAAATCTAATGGTCAGTATTCATTTAAATAAATTTAAAAAAATGCATATATTATTTTATCACACGTCGATTTCAAAATCTAATGGTCAGTATTCATTTAAATAAATAAAAAAAAAACTTAGAGAATTCATTATTCAAATGGAAGTCTTTCATTAATTTTTCTTTATTTACTTGATGTTTCAATAGATAAGAAACTATGACATGCAACATTCTTGCATTGGAATCTCCATTCAGCATGTTGTATTTCGTTATTTAACGTCCTCTGCATAGGCATAGGTGGTGTAATTGATCATTTTCAGATAAAATTTCAAATTATTTGTAATAGGATTTATGATTAAAGATTATATGTTTTTATTTGTAATAGGATTAGGTGGTGTAATTGTTTTTATTAGGTCACAAATGATAAAAGGGAAATGAAGTTTCAATCAAACATTTGGGAAGGTTTGGGGTCTCACCTTCCTAACATCAATTGGGTAAGCCTTTGTGACCTAAAACTTCATTTCCCTTTTTATCATTTATATATTTTAACATCAAAATTTCAAATTTTAATTGAAAAATGGCAAGTTTTTCAAAAACTTGAGTTTAAAGGTCAAATGGTGATTGTTGACTGATTTTAATTCATTTTTTTGAATATAGTTTTCACCAATGAGTTCCCAATGCATTGGGTAACATTTCAAGTAAATATTTTTGTATTCAAACCTCAATTTTGGAATTGGGTTCATGAGTTGAATTGACCCATTTTTCAAAGTGAATGATTTGGGTGTTATTATTTCTGAAATCAGATTTTGGTTACTTGATTGAATTAGATGTAACACCTTGAAAGTTGGAAAGTTTAAATTACTTGATTTAAAAATAACACCGAAATTTCGCAGGAGAGTTTGAGTGAAAATTGCGGGGAATTAAAAGTGAGAATGATACAGATTTGCGGTGATGATGCGATCAATTCAAAATCAGTATATGAAAGCCATAATGCAACTCACGATGAACCCATATTCATTTCCATTATTATGATAATATCATACAAATAATAGCCTAATTAGTGGCTTTTTTAGAAGGGAAAATGACAATTTGATCATTTAAAAGGAAATGACATATAGGAGTAGTACCAGGCTTAACATTGAGCACTACAAAAGGTAATCCCTTTGGATTCCAAAAGGAAGTATCTTGGTGGCATACTGATAGCGCTTTAACTTTTGTTCCATCAACACCTATCATTGATACCATGAACGTCTTTGTTCTTCCTCCAACATGACAATAATGCACTGCGTATGGATAATTTATTTTGTGGCATACCATGTTATTCCCATCCGCAATTTCTTCAACTTTTTCCATGGTGTATCTCTGAAATATTTGACTACTTTCCCCTTCTACCTCCGTTGTAATTGCTTTGATATTGTTCGTTCCTAGCTCGGATAACATGAAATCTACCATCGACTCTAATGAAGTTGCACAAAATTTCTTCTCTTTATGGAGATCTGGCTCTTCACATAGATAGATTGTTTCCTTGATTATTTGAGCATCCTTTGAATTACTATCGATTGAGAAATGGTTTAGAATTTCAGTGAATTTTTTCAATGAGAAGGGAATGGTTGATTGGCGAGGCAAAAATGGTGCATCATTTTTATCATTGAAAGTAGGAAAATTGATGATATTTCCTTTCTTCAAGTCGTTTTCGAAGAAGTTGTTGAATCCATTCCATTGTTTTAGTCAACTTTAGCTATTCAATTGGTACAAGCAATTGTTATAAATAAATAGTAATTGGAGTTGAAAAGAAAAGATTTGGTAGTTGGCAAATTGGTAAGATTTGCAACCATTTTTGACTTTGCTATGTTTACATATGTCATTAGTGACATAGGTATGGTTTTATCCTTCTATAAATAGAGCATTCTTGCTCATTTGTAGAACACACCAAGTTAGAGAGAAAAACCATTTTGAGAGCAAAGTGAGGTATTCCATAGACTATATAAGAAAATAGTCTGTGAAGAAAAATAGAGTGTGAGCGATATTTTAGTAAGACGGAAACCAAAAGAGTGTTGTTCCATTTGAGTGTGTAGTAGTCACATTGAGTGTTGTATTCGTGACTACACAGTGTAAAATTCCTTACTATAGTAATATCAGTTGCTCCTCTTGGCCCGTGGTTTTTTCCCTTATTCAGAAGGGTTTCCACGTAAAATTCTTGGTGTCGTTATTTTCCCATTTTATTTCCATTACATTTACCATATATACTTTTTTGTTTGTTCGTGTTTTCCCAACAGAAGTAAGATTTGTAAAGAAAATTATTGTGATCGTCTTTCAGCTCACGAATCTCTTCTTCTGTACCGGCATGATGCCAAGGCCACACTCCATAATCGAAGTTACCACGGTATACTTTCTGATTACTGTTGGAATTATGATCTACAAAAATCAAATTGGCCAACACATCATCAAGTAGTTATAAGAGGTATTTTCCTATTTTCAAAATACTCTTCATGGAAAAAAAAAGGCTCATCTCCTGTCAAATACACAAGTAACATTTTTTTTTCCATGAAAGATAGCCCATCCTTTAAAAAAGAGTGACATATTTTAATTTGACACAAAGTTTAAGAAAAAAAGAGGACTTTTAAATCTTATAATCCTAAATTAAAGTTATGTCACTACGTACAAAATTTTCATTTAATCTTGTGATCTTACAAATGTACGTGAAAAGTTGAAATTAAAATATTACCAAAAAAAGAAAGAGATCATTTTTTTTGAAACAAACTGAAAAGGAAATGAGGTCGTTTTTTTTTAAAACAGAGAAAGTATATTTTTTTTTAGAAGTCATTTAATGTCATATAAACAAAATTATACACTCATAACGTTAAAACAAAATGTGTGGAGTTGAAGAAAAACCTGTGTGGAGAAGAACATCTTTGATCACTTTAGGTATCTGAGTGTTGGGCAATTTTAGTTTTCAATAAATTTCTGGAGATATCGCTGCATGACTTACTACAAAAGCAAGCTACATAGAAACAAAAATAAACAATTAAATTTTAGTCATTATAATTCATAATGTAACTAAACAAAGGGAAAAAACTCAAATATGTTATGGCATTTTGAAAAACGACTCATTTATATCATCAGTTAAAGATTGATTCATTTATAACATTGTCGTTTGAGAAAAATCTTATTCGTATCATTATTTTTTAGTTCGATCTTGCAAAACCATTTTTACCTCAATAAGATCCCTAAACAACTTTTAAAATTTTTCAATTGGAGCTTTGGATCAAGTGTTCTTCTTCCTCATTAACATATGAAGAACATCATGAACTCTCAAATTTCCAACTTCTTCATTTCTTCGCGAAATCACCTCAAATTTCAAGAGTAGTTTTCGGTCGAATTCAAACGTAACTCAACAAGACTAACTTGGTATTTGTTCAAAACTTCTACATCCTTCAATGGTAGAAGTTTCTCCACAACCCTAAATCACTTGAAAGTTTGGACATATATTAAAAAAAACACTAGGGAGGGAACAAAGATCTAATGTCAAAACAACAGCCAAACCTCAAGTGTCAGTAGGGTTCTATTTTCATTTTATTACGTATTACTTTTAGCAATGTTTATAAATGTAAATTTATTTCATATTCTCAATCAGTATTCTCTAATTAATTTGTATTTATAACACTCCTTATGTATTCACTATTTTTTGTCAAATACAACTATACAAACTTGAACTATTCGGTAGACTGAACTTACATTTTCAACATTTTCTTTTTTTATTTACTCATTATGCTAATATATATTCAAAATGAGACTACACAAATTAACATAGGGCATACGTGTTCTATTATTAAAAATGGGAAGCTCCAAATGGCATAGTTGAATTATCATTTTATTTATATACTAATTTTCCTCCAAATGCATAGTTGAATTATCCTTCTATTTCTATACTAAAGAAAATTATTACAAATAATCTAATTTAATTTGTAAATGGTTATTATATTATCTTATTCCAAGTATTAAAGTGAGAAAATGTAAAAAGTTCGTAGTAGTAAATTTACAGTCCAAATATATATACAGAAGAGGGAGGGGGTAGGTGGATTTAAGGCTATCAGGTGGTCAGGGGAATTTAATTTTTACATGTTATAAGAGTGATAGAGCATTACCTATGAAGATAATTTCTTTAAAGTTACTATTCCATCTGATCCATTTTATGTTGCACTTTTCGTTTTCGACAGTCAAACAATTTAATTTTGACCGAATATTTGCATATGAAATTTTCAAATTTTTTAAAATGAAATTTATATATGGGAAAAGGGTCTGATATACCCCTCAATTTTATCATTTAGAGCTGATATACCCCTTGTTATGAAAGTGGCTCATATATACCCTTACTTGTAAACAAATGGCTCACATATATCGTTTTCCTCTAACGGGAAATGAAAAAATAATAATTTTCAATCTAAATTTTTATTATTTTTTTCTAAAAAATATAATCCCATATGAGTAAATTTAATTCTCGTCAAACATATTTTTTTTTGACTTTTTTTTGTTTCAATGACTAATTTATAATTATTATTTTGATAATCAAATTTATTTATGTTTCACTAATATTCTTATAAAACTTATTTTAGATGA